TAATTAAATGTTTGTGCCATTGTGATACAGTAGATATGATATAGATGTTGATTCATACCTTAGTTATTGGATTAGTTAATTGACCTGTTCATCCATTTCTTTACTCTCATTACATTCATTAAATGCTGCAAAGAAAAAAATGTCCAGTGGGTAACAGGTCATGGACATCTTTAAAGAGCTACTTGCAGTGTCTTTGAGAAGGGTCTGACTGCAGAGCCGCAGACTTCACACGCAGTTTCACTCCAGCAGTTTCAGGCCAGTAGAACGCATGCGCAGTAGGACAGCGCAAAGTCTTTATAGGAAAGTTGAGAGTTACGAGTGTTCCCATTCATATTTCTACCAGTGGCTGGTCTCCTAATTTATAACGTCTCTGATGTAAACAGCGGCTGTCTGTGCTGGTTGTATGTGTCGCCATGCATATTACCATCCAGGAATGGATACCATTGCCAATATACAAATCAACCATTGGTAACCGGATAAACCATAAGCCAAAACACATTACAAAACCATCAGAAACCAAAAGAGACATTTAATGGTTTCTATGGGGTTTTCAGCAGGGGTACGTCCAAAAACTAAAGTTTGTTTTAGCTTAAAGCTTTATATTATATTTATTATATCAGGTTAAGCCTGCTTAAGGCCACATAAGCTGTAGTTTGTGTAATATTTACCCTGTGAATCTCAATATGTGTTCAAACCAAAGCTTGTTTTAGCCTAAAGCTTGAAGTATAACATTAGCCCAATGCAAAATTATCACAAATTTATTGAAAACCCACGTAAAACAACTGAAATGTTGATTAGCCTAACACTTGCGAAAACAAGTGTCAGCGCATGCGCTGAATGCCACTGGCCTGAACCTGCTGGAGTGAAACTGCTGGCGTGAAACTGTGGCTCTGCGGCTCTGCAGACAGATATTATTGGTGTCTTTTGATCCACTGGTAACCCAACACTCTGAAGGTTAGGTTGTTGATACGTGCACTAGCATTCAAAAGTTTGGAATCACTGTTATTTAATATTATAAAGCAGTTTATTGCAGATACGTGTATAAAATACTTCTATAAAAATGCTATTTCTTTACAGCTTCTACAAGGCAGTAATTTTAGATGTGTTCAGAATTATAAACAGAGCTATAGATAATTCCATAATGACTAAGAAAGCTGTACAACATTGAGAATGAAATTATATTAAAATTAAAACATCCAGAATGCTTCATATTTAACAAGTGATCAAGTATCTCAAATCATGGGGCAGATAATGCATCAATAAATTTCAATAATTAGATATCTACAATATATTATTTATAATTTGATGTTCCCAAAAACCTAAAAGACTGAATAAGGCATCTTACAACACATTCTAGAATCTAGCTTCTAGTATTTCAGTCTATAATATTTAAGTTATGAGTTATATACATGACAAGTAATTCCAAACCTCTGAACAATGTGCATCTTCCATGTTTCTTTAGGTACATTTCTTATGTTGGTCATACAATCAACAAGCAGTGGTGCTAGATCTACTGAACACAGCACGCCTGACAGTACTTGTCTCTTTCCAGGTGTCAAAGGATGACCGAAGTGACATCGAGTCAAGTTCTGATGAAGAGGAAGTCCCGTCCCCAGCTCAGAAACACCACACTAATGGGACCAACGGGGCACATGGCACTAACGGCTACCTGTCCACATCCCCCTGTCATGATGAACACTAAGCGTCTTGCCGCCCTTTTACGTTCCAGTGGAGCCCACTGCAGCCTGGTTCATTGGTCTGTACAGTACTTGTGTGTGTCAAAACATGAACAATGTTGCCTGTCTGGTACTGGAAGTTCTTAAATAGAATACTGTGAATGCAGTTCTGTTTCAGTATGATTCTTTCCACACGCTTTCTTTTTCGTTCCCGTTTTCTTGTTTTGTTTTTCTTGTTTATCTTACATTTATAGACACATGGTTGAATATCAGCGCACTCCTTCCCTTAAGTACAACTCGCTTTCGTTTTTTTGTTTTTCTTTTTTTTGGGAGGGGATTTTGGTGAATGAATGAAAGCATCTCTCTTATCATCATGCTAGCATGCTGCTGTGGTCATGTAGTTTGGTATTATGGGAGCGGCTATTTTCTCGAGGTAACGTCTTTGTATTTATTTATTTTTTTTATATCTATAAATAGGTTGCAAATTTGTGGATGAGATTTTTTTTTCTATGTCTTAAAGCAATTTGCTGTCGGTGTTTTGAAATGGCACGACTATTTAAAGTTCACTGTTTCAGGATTCACCAAGTCAACAACTTTGACATCCAAGATATTTTCTGGTTTTAAATCATTTACCATAGTCACACATAAGAGATAACTGCTGTCTGATATGCTCACCGTTAAAATGTATGACATGCATTACAGAAGTGACCAGCACACACATATGCTGTATTTGCACTAGTGTAATTGTACTTGGGAATTCTGTAACAGTATTATGTGCTCATGTGTTTTGTTAGAAATGCTGCAAAAATTGCCATATTGTCCTCCACCTCAAATCCAGCAGGACTGTATTTCAAACAATGGAAAACTTACTCTTAAAATTATGTTCATGCTTTATATTTACAGTCATTGTGACAAAAATTCCAAGTCCAAGAAGCAGGTAAATTATAGATCTGACAAACAGCATGAAACTCGACTATCAATTGACTGTAGGTCCTTGATTACAGTGTTATTGTACATCAGGTTTTATCAGCTCTTAAACTTGAATTTCAGACTATGTAATGTGTTAAAGGTAATAGACTCATACGGGGAGTTTCACATTCTAATTCTGCAGTGTTAATATCAAATGAGTACTACGTATCACATCATACTTTTACCATAGGCTATTACCATAAAAGTCCAGTCCCCATTACATGACTCCAAACCGTCCTACCAAAAATGATACAGTGCTGGACTGTGTAGTACATCAGTCATGGTATGACATTGTTGCACCATCACAAACCATATGCACTCTAGCAACATACTATGCGTCATACAGTGGCATTATGTTTGCTTCTACAGCTTTAAATGATAAGAATTTCCCATTTTTCCATTGTTCTTTGTATAATTTAACACAAACCACTGAGCTAGGTGGATGACTCATTAAAATGCTATTGGGGTAAAGCTTTTGTTTTTGAGTATTTTTAAGGCGATCTATTATTTCTGTGTTCTGAAGGTCAATGCTGCAGTTTATTAGCAAGCTGTGGAGAGGAAGTGCAGCTAATTAGCCATTGTATCTCTGCACTGCAGACAGTGCGCTGATGCTGGATTATGTGGTTTCCACTTGATGTCAGAAAAATGGTATATTCAAAGGCTTTGGTTTTCTGCCTTTGTTTGAACGTCAAATTATAAACAGTACAAATGAAAAATGTTGCCATGTATTTTGAATAAACACGACAGACAAAAGAATTCTGAAATTTGCCTTTTTTTTTCTTTCCACGATGTCTTTATCATGGTAATGTACACTATATGGTCAAAAGTATGTGCATTAAGGGCTTCATAAAATGGCCAAGGAGCTGCACACAAGCCTAGGATCACTATGCACAGTGCCAAGCAGTGGCTGCAGTGGTTTAAAGCACCTCTGGACTTGGGAGCAGTGGAAAATGTGTTCTTTGGAGGAATGAAGCATGGTAGTTGATGGACGGATAACTGTTTGGTGGATGCTTGGGAAACGCTACACTCTGAAACCTATGTGTCAAACACAAGACCCACAGTCTAAGTCAGGGCTGTGGCACAATCTTGTTCAGCCCACAAAGTTATTTTAATTCTCTATTAAAATTAGCCCATTTCACCATGAACTGCAAAACAGTTCCCAATATGCACTGCAACATAATGTGTGCTCCTACCCCCTCCCCAACAACAATATGGGACAGCACCACAGAAGAAAAAGAAAAAAAAAAGATGCTAGATGACAAGTTCAAGCGAATGCGCAGTTTTAAAAAACATACTGTACACTGGGGACATTTAAAGAGGTTTAACAGTTATCTGCAGCTCATGTGGTCTGTTGTTTTACATAAAACTATTTGTTTTTATTTAGAATTATTTTTGAAACATTAAAGTATTCTGTGCCTATTTTTTGCCATTGTAGATTTGGCATATTTTGAATAAACAACGGCCAGCTGGGGTCATAGCAAAATGTTAAGTAAAAATGAAATAAAAACACAGGTGGCTCATGGATTTGTTGACATTTTTTAACATGGCCCATTGAGTGGTTGAGTTTGACACCCTTGCTTTAAAACGTGATGTGTTAAATAACAAAATACTTGCCTGTGTTATTTGGTTTAAAATGTCTTGTCCTCAATTAAACACACTAGTTAAGGACAGAATGTGTTGCTTCTGGGGCTGTTTTTTAGGATTGCACTAGGCCCCTTAGTTCCATGAAAAGGTAGTGTTAATGCAACAGCAAGACATTTTAGACAATTATAGGCTTCCAACTTTCCCTTTCCTGATCTGCGTCCCTGTGCACAAAGCAAGGTCCATCAAGGCATGGTTTAAGAGTTTGGTGTGGAGCAACTCCATTGGATGACACAGAGCACTGACCTCAACCCCCTGGACACCTTTGGGATGAACTAGAACATCAATTTCAAGCTAGATTGCCTTGTCCAGCAGTGTCTGACCTCACAAATGCTTTTTTTGACTAAATGGGCACAAATTTCCACAGACACACTCCAAAATCTTGTGGAAAGCTTCCCAGAAGAGTAGAGATTATTATAGCTGAAAAAGGTGGGGAGGTATCCATATTAATGCCTGTCGTTTTAAACGGGATGTCCAGCAATCTCATTTAGGTGTGATGGTCAGGTGTCCAAATACTTTTAGCTATGTATTGTAGCTAGGTCTTTGTCTCTCTGTATAATAAAGTGTATCATAGAGAGTATGTGTCTGGGTATACAAATATTGAAATGAAACTTTAATCTCTGCTATGGTCATTTTGTATTTCCCGAGCCTACACAGGTGATTTCCGCATGCATGCCTTAAGGGAGGAGAGTGGTCAAAGTTTAAAAGTGCAAAAGTCAACAAACAGCCAGACTGAAGATGAAGGACCCGCTGGGCACTTGCACTGTGAGTCTGCAAACTTTTCTCATTCATGTACCACTTATAAATATATACAGAAGAGAATACAAGACAAACGTCTATGATTTTGTGTGCTTTCTGTATATAAATGCTTTGTGCTGTGATATTAGCTGTAGTTAACAGTTACGCTGAATGTGTTGCAGTACAATCTGCTGTACCAGGATCTCAAGAGATTCTCAAAAAATGGGGAGTACTTTTGCAAAGAACTTGTTACAGTATTCCAGCAAAGGTAATAGTCACTTTAGGCCTTGACATTTTCCTACTCTGTTTGCTTTTAAATGTTCCCTGGGATGATCTCTGAGGCACCTAGCCGTAAAAGACCAAACTCTTGATATATTTGGATAAAAAGTGGAAAGAGGCATGAAAACCATCTCTCCCTAAAGACACAGCCATGCACTTTGAAGTCAGGGCTTCTGGACTGAATTTTAATTATAGCTGCAGTTACTCTTTTACCTATTGCCTGTCTGAGGGAATGTCCTTGAAAGAGTCTGTGCTTTTTATATCCCAAAACCTCTTAATCTTCAGCGGTTTAACTGGTGAAAGTACATGACTGAAGCTCTGATAAAAGTTCTTAAAAGCTCATTTTTAGTCAAGGTTATCTCCATGTTGGATCACAATTTTAAAGAAAATAGAGAAAACGTACTGAAGGGCCTCAGCATGCATTTCCTGGGCTCTGCATTCTTTTAGAGGTCATAAACGTATTGTGCAGTGATCATAAGTATTTGCTTTATGGTGCAGGCTAGGCATGGGCTGATAAGTTTGTTTCTATGAACACAGATCAGAGTTGGAGATCAACTACGCCAAAGGGCTGCAGAAACTGGCAGGAAAACTCATCAAAGTATCCAAAACGATGAGTAACAAGTGAGCGTGCGTTTACTTTTCACCAGCTTGCTTTTGCGCTGTTGAAGAATAACTGATACTTGGAAAATACAGATTTTGTCCGTAACTCACTTTCTGGATTGACAGTAGATGTCATACTGATTTAACTGATAATTCAAATTCCTAAAGAAGTATTACCTTCTCTCTAAAGCTCTACATACAACGCATGGTCCCTTCTCTCAAACGAGATGTTCACAGTAGCAGATGCACACAGGTAAAACTGAATGCTCCTAAATACTTTTTATTTTATACGTTTTTGGTTAAGGCACATTTCTAAACTACATTTATTTTCAGAATACTAGGGCAAGCTCTACAACAAGATGTCGTCTTGGAAATTCGCCAAATTCTAGACGAACACACCAAGAGGAAGAAACCAGTGTGTGACCTTAAGCTTTGTGTTACACACATCTAATACTAACGTGCAGTGATCCCCAGTGCTGTTTAGTGTTTTTATCTATTTATTTACTTACTTACTTAACATATTCAGCTGTTCAGAACACCAGGACAATGTCTCTATTACCAAAGTTTTATGATCATATGAGGTGGTAGCAGTAAGTGTTGTCAGAAACAAGCATCTGATTGGACTCTTTTTTGTGTACAGCTGGACAATGCCATCGAAAAATCTGGCAAACTTGTTGTCACAAACTGGAATGAACAACTGAAGGTACGATGCTAATAGTGTTGTATAATGGACACTTTAATGGAAAGTTGTTCCAGTTAAATAAAGCTTTTACACGCTTTAAAAAAGTGTCGCAAAGCGTTCTTTGAACAATGCCATAGAAAAAAACACTTTTGGTTCTCTAAAAATGCTTGAAAATGAAAAGAGATTGAAAACGGGGTGGTACCCTCAGGGGTACATCTTAGTACCTTCAGTCAGGGAACATAATTGTGCCATAAGTTGTACTGACTCCATACACCCCGTCTCATCTCCAGACTTTTTATTTTATTGTTCTGTTTTAAAACATTAGGTTATGAAAAGATAAAAATATGTACTTTTCTGGACCTTAAAACCACTACTGTTACTTTAAGGGTGCACCTAAAATTGTTTGTACCTTAAAGAAACGAAAACTGTACCTGCACAGAAACTTTATTTCTAGCAATGTACCAACTTAAGGGTTCATTCTAGAACTTTTACATCATGTGGAGGTACTTTAAGATTTCAAAAGGTTCTTCATACTCACACTCTCTTTTACAAAAATGGTCCTCTAAAGAGCCATCAATTGACAGTTTTTTTAGAAACCAAAACTAGTTCTCTCTGGTTATTTTATGGTATTGTTTGAAGAGCCCTTGTTGCACCTTTATTTTTTAAGTGTATCTGAAAGCATATACTCTTGAGTGAAACTAATGTAACAAACATCTGAGACTCAAGCACACTCTGCAAAGCAAATACTGTAATATTGTAAAATATATAAGAACTTTGTTTGCTGTTATGTATCAGTGTTTGTGTAATAATATGTATTTGGAAGGAAAAGAGCGTACTGGGTGTAAAATATAGTAGCATATCATAACATTTTGTTTTTACAGTTCTGTAAAGTTATGTATTGGTTTCCCAGTCACAAATTAATCAGCCTACATTTTCCTTTCAATGGACAATCATCATTCAGAATACAGTGCAGTCCAGGACTAGGCTTAATTTCTAGTCCATTACTTTACAGAACATGTTATGAAGCTAAAACATGTCTAATATGTTCTCTGTGATTAATCTCCATCTACTAAGCCCTTCTCTTTCCATACACAGTTTGTCACACAAACTGAGCCAATGTGCATGACTTATATAATTAAGTATATAAAAATATATAATAAAGAGACAGGCACCTTGAAAATTCCAGAAAAAAAATGTGCTTGTTTCCACAGGTGAAGAAAAAGCTGAATGGGTTAACCAGAGAGCATGAGGCACTCTTCAGTTTTGTGGAAAAGAACAAACACATCTGCACAGAGAAAGAGAAACAGAAGGTACTTATTACTTGATGGTGACGATGTATTTCAGACACCTTGTATATGTAAATGCTAAAAAGCAAGAAAGAAAAGATACTTGTTCTAAGGCTAAAGAAGACTGTAATACCCAAACTGACACACCAATATCAATAGATCAAAATCATTTATATAAGAAAGCCCCCTGAATCTGTTACTGCATTATATGTGCTCAGTTTGAGAGTTTGCCAGAGTACTTGCATTCATTTACCTTTGTACAGATGTTTAACAGACTGACTAAGTCTGCAGAACTTCAAGCCAAAGTTGATGAGAACTACTTCAATATGAACATGGAGGGCCACCAGATTCGACTGAAGTGGGAGAACACACTCAAAACCTGCTATCAGGTGTCAGCTTTTAATAGGGCTCTGCCCCAGTGTTCATTATGTGTGTTTTGGATCTACAGTCATAAGAGGATGATAGAATAGCCATAGCAACTAAACCCATAAGAGTACATCCTTTTTCTTTCTTTTTAAAAACACTTCTACTGCAACCAAATGCCTTTTTTAGATCATCCAGGAGCTTGAGAAGCAAAGGATAGAGGCTCTGTGCAACACACTGAATAAGTACAGTCTCCACACGTCCAGCTACAGCAAAACCCTTCTTCATGTAAGTCAGTGCAGTAGTACAAAACAAACCCTATTTAACATTAACAGCATACAAGTATCAAGTATCACTAGTTCAGCTTACTTGCAGAATTCCCTCAGTAAATCTAGGCATTGTGCTGGTATAATTTATCCGTGCAAGTGTGCCTATAATAGTAAAACATAGCTGAGTGTGTATTTAATATGCACACAAGTTAATATCTTCAATATTATGCAGTTGAATAGTTCAGTCTTCCCTACAGAGTGAGCAACAGACTCAACAGGCCATCAGGAGAGTGGATGTGGAGAAGGACCTCCAAACTCTGGTGGAAGACACCTGTGTTACAGCAGATGATAACAAGGCTGAATTTCTAATGGCTGACTACTTTGTAAGAACTTTTACTGCAAATACGACCAACTATCATGTTTGTTTTGGGTGTATAATGATTCTGCTGAAATATAAGAAATCAAATAAACAAAGGCACAGCTGTTTGTTATTGTTATGCATGTTACATTTTAATACATTCGTATCTAAAAGCTTACTAAATAGAAAAATAACCCCTTTAACAATGAAATGGCAAAATAAATTTTGTGTTATATAAAAGGTACTGTGCAAAAGTCTTGAGATATATGAAACGTTCTTCTGGTGAGTAAATATTTTTTCACTAATATTACCATAAATGCAAATAAAGAAACAAATACGTTGTGATTTTATGTGTCAGCATTTTAGCTTAAACTTTTCCAAATGGCTTTCTTTGAGGAAGCCCAGTATTCAGTCACAATTCAACATCTAGTTTGGCTAATCAATTCTTCACTAAATAAATCGGGTGTGTTGCTGGTGTGTTGAACAAATCTGTTCTTCTAAAGGAAACCTTTCGAAAACAATACATTATTTAGTTGTATTTATTCCAATGTTACAAAGTGTTTTTACAGGCAAAAAAAAACACTGCTGAGACAAATAGTTCTAAACAGTATTAATGATTACCTAATCATTTTTGCACAGTACCGTATGTAAAAAAGTAATGCAACAATGCCAATCTGAGTAATGACTTGTTTTGTATGTGTCCGTGTGAACATGATAGGAGGAAGACGGGAGGACAATAATGGGAAAAGAAAGAAGAAGGGACGCTTTAAAGATTAAACTCCAGCGACTGGAAGAATGGATCACGAAAACCAAGAAAGACAAAGAAGGTATTACTATTTTTAAAGTCTTTCCCTTTTTAGGCTCACTCGTGAATTAAAGATGAAAAAACCTGCATGATATAAGAATCCCTCTACTACTCTAAGCTTGATAGGTTTCCAATGACATCTCATCTCATTTTGTCATGAGATTTCACAAGTTCTTTAATGAGATGCCATCTCTTTGCCATCTCTGGAATAAGACTGTATTGCATCAAATCTCAGGGCTGGAGAAAATGTCAGTGGTATACTCTGAAAGCACATCACACTCGAGTCAAAAAAACCTGGAGGAAACAGAGCAGCTGCTTGATGAGGTAATGAATGAATCATAAATTGTATGTTATATTTCATTTAAACAGTATTTAATGGCAGTTAGCATTGGCTTTGCGATTGCAGACCACTTTAAAATTGGACCTTCTGGAGGCTACACACTGCAAACTCAACCAAACTTTAATGGATTTAGAGGGAAAACCAAAGCCATTACATCGGTTCAGTGACAGCATCACAAAATTCAAAGATAAGGTATGTTTCACTATAAAGACAATGGATATATATGGATAAACTTGTACATTGCAACTATAATGGAAAGCAGCAAAATACTGCATCTATGTAAATAAGATATAGTCTCATGTAGGGCTGTGCAGTATGACAATATTTATCATTATGTTAAATTACATCATAATATGGTTTTCTGAGCATATTGTGGGTATCATCAGTACTTAACCACTTCTCAACTGCATGTTAGATTACAAAGAGAGCATAATTTGTCCTGTTTAATTGAATTTAGTATGAAATATTGAATACAAATCATTGGATTAATAGTTCTTGAAGCAACTATGTAATATTAGAATTTAGGATTAGTGGGTTAGAGTTTTGCCACATTGCTCAGGTCTTGTCTCAAGTATTTGTGCCAGTAGGCCTTAAATTGAAATCATGTTCTAAAATAATTCCAGGATTGTGAGCACAGCATTGTGAAACTATCTCGGCCAGTTAAGATAAAAAAGACACCGTTCAGATCACGCCAATCTTTGAGGACTTCAATCATGTATAAAGGCCCTGCTAAAAATGGAGCATCCCGCCAGGACCCTGCTCCATCTACCGGACCTGGCACTGTATCAGCACAACTCAGCCACTACACAGAGCCTCAGAGAACTGAGCTTAATGGAGCTCTGCCTCACTACGAAAATGAAGCCGAAGGTGAAGATCTTAGTTAATTAGTTCTTGCTTTCCTGTGTTTATTTGTATCTACAATATTATTTGGTAACGATGCATCAAGTGTCGGACAAATGTACTTATGCACAGAAGAACTACTGATTTTTTTATGGTCATTACAGGCAGATTTCATCTCACTATTACTAAAGGACTGACAGGAAATAACAAAAAGAACTTGAAAATCTTAGATCATTAGATTTGTTCTATCTGTAAGGGAAAATGGGTCATAAGTAAAAATTTAATTTAATGAGAATTTAAACTGCTGCCCTGTTGATTCACTTCAACCAGGTGCTGCTTGTTACAGTCTTGGTAAATGCAAGGCTTTATATGACTTCTCATCAGAGAAAATGGACGAGTTAAATATTAAAGAAGGTAAGTTTACAGCTCCTAAAGATAACCTAGCCATTTCAGTGAGTGCTGCACTAAACTTAATTTGTATCCTTATTTCCAAAGGAGATCTTCTTGACATCCTTCTCAAGGACGACAGTGGATGGTGGTATGGAGAACTTAATGGGGAGAGAGGTCACTTTCCCTCTACGTATGTTGAGGAGCTGCCTGTCTTAAATATGCCAAAGTCTTCTGTTGCTTAACTCATGGAAAGGATGTTTCATTATACATTATTTAGGAGTGAACTTCATTTTAGTGTAAGATCCAGTAGTGAGTCTTAAGTACTTTTAGGTTGAAGCACTGTGTACAGCCTTTTTCTTTTATTAATAATACAGGCTGAATTTGTATTTGAGCCTGGAGGGTCATCTATTCCTATTTTTGTTCTGTTGATTTGTGATCACTAGCATGCTCATCACATTCAAGAATCAGACATTAGGAGCAGCTTATGAAACAACTAGATGAACTATGGTGACACGAATTACTAATTATATCTGCTGACAATTTTCCTCTCATTTAATCGATTGTTAAATTAAAATGTTTAATGTTAGCATTTTTGCAGGATTATTGTTTAATTACATGAGTTAATTACGTAGGTACAACACATTGCGTTTCCTCAATAGTTGGATGCTGTGTTAGTGTATTTTTTGTACATTATTTAAAGTAATGTAAGGAGAGGTGTTAGAAAGCATGCTAAAAATTAAATGTTGAAATTTTTTTTAAATGTCTCTCTACACTTATTCAAGAAGATGCACTAGCTATAAATAAACCAAAAATAAATACATTTTCTTTCTTTTTTTTCCCCACTTGTTTTAACATCTTTACCTAATGAATGCAACAAAGGGTATGAACATAACAAGACTATATGCATTTTATTATGTACAAGTCCAAACAGGTATTAGGCTACATGCAATAAAAAACTAATAAAATAAAGTGAATTCAAAGTGAATTCAACTAAAAATCCAACTGTGACCACTTAGCTTTTGTCTGAGTGAAAAGAGCATTCCACAGACTCTTTATGCCATCAATATTTACATTAAATCAGGCAGTCTTTGTAGCACCGTGTAGTGCCACAAACGCTTTTCTGATGTTGGCGAGAAAGGCAGAGAAGTTGTTGGTCGCCTGCAGTCTACGCTCCAGATGTTCCATCTGCGCCAGTGGAGGATCACAGGAGACAACTGCAAACACAAATGTCATAATAAATCACATCTTGCTCTTAATTCTCTCTTTTTATATCAATCATTTTTAGGTTAGCTTGGGCAAGAAGTCCTCATGTGATTAATTTAAGGTCATAAAGATATATTTAATGTGGAAACCAGTATCATTTCTTTGTCAGAATGATAATTCAACACCAGTTTCCTTCAGAATACAATAAGGCAACTAATATTTCAAATGTACAGAGAAAAAAAAGAAAAACACTGCTCAAGTGAACAGCAAAGAAAGTATTTCATACTGCACATTATTAATCATATAATGAGCCATTTATTTTACTCATAGAACTATGAAATGCCCAGGGGACAGACTATTAACTTTCATTAAACACAAATGTATGTAAAGTTATGCATTTCACACATGCACATATGAAAAGCTTCTTCTTCTTCTTTGTTTACTTATTTAGATGCTATTAAAAAACTGTATTAACTTACTCTGGTACACACCCTCCTCATTTATCCTTAAAAGGAAGGTGTAGGCACTTTCTGGATTCTTGTGGTTGATATTTCTGAAGATGAACTGCAGCTTCTCACCTTCACACAAACACACATTAACACTGATTATGATTAAACTGACATTTTCATTTGTGTATATGGCATGTGCTATTAAAGAAGTAAACTTTACGGTAGAATTGAAATGCTTACCCTGGATTTTTCTGATCTCAAGACTTAGCCGTTCCTGAAAGATTTCTTTAATCTTGTTGAGGTTCTTTAGCCTGTCCTTGTTGGCCTTGTTTTGTAAGTGAATCACTTGAATTTAAAAATTAGACACAACAAAATAAGAAGATCTTGACAACAGAAATATCAGGTACATACTGTTTTATACTGACAACCTGCCTACATGTTGTGTATAAGCCTACAAAAGTCGTACTTCAGCTTACATACATTCTCTGTTTTTAGCTTGTTCCTGCTTGAGCTTCTCAATCTTCTGCATTATAAGTTCTTTATGCCTTTCCTTGTCTTCAATCTCTTCCACAATTTCAGGCCGTTCTGTATTCTTTTCCTTCATGACAGAACTCTTGACTTTTAAATCTTTAAACAGATAAACAGATAGAGAGACACATAGATAGATAGACAGATAGAACCGATTATTTTTCCAAATTTACACAACTTTTCAGTCAACGGATTCCAACTTTAAAATCCAGCGATAAACTGACCTTCCATGTAGGCCTGTATAGTTTCGAACATAGTTTCATCCTCCTTGCATTTCTTTGAGCATGTGTCTAGAAAAACAAACTGGGTTTAGTTATCAATGCTTAGCACAATAAAGATCAAACAGATTTATTTAGCTGTGTTAGCTACAGCCAGGTTCATAAGTATTTGGACAGTGCTAATTTTTGTAATTTTGCCTCTTTACACCACCACAATGGATCTGAAATGGAGTGGTCAACATGCAACTGGTAAGTAGACTTTCAGCTTTAATTCTAGGATCTTTAATTCTATTTTTTACACAACCCCTACATTTTCACAGGCTCAAAAGTAATTGGATAAACCAAAACATAAACAGCTCCCAAATGCATATTCAACACTTGCAATCAACTCCAAACCCTTCCCCTATCTCCTTAATTTGTTATTAAATGACGAAGGAGCAGGCCATGAAACTGCTTATCAGTCAGTTTATCCAATTATCCAATTGAACTTATGAAAATGAAAGGACTATGTAAAAATGGCTGTAAGTTAATACCTAAACGGTTAATGCAATATTTTTGTTAATCCCCTTTAACAAAAGGTGGAGGTCTACACTTCGGTCACATTTTGACTGCCTCTTTTCAGATTCATTGTGGTGGTGTACAGGGACAAACTTACGAAAAACAGTGTCACTGTTCAAATACTTATAGACCCGTGTGTAGCTGCACTGCTAGCTAATATTCTAAAGCCAAAGTAACGTTAGGTTAAGTGTGTGCAGCGTGTGTGTGTCTCTCTGTCTCTGTCTCTCTCTCTCTCTCTCTCTCTCTCTCACCGAGCACGGACTTCATGTACTGTTTGTGACCCTGACAGAACTGCGCTGTTGCCTCGTTCATCACTTCTCCCATCGCCTGTATTAACAACTTAGTCCTTATCTCCTCCAGTTTGCTGCTGAACTGTTCCACAACATCAGGATCCTTGATAGAGGCCATACCGAGCTGGACTGAATAGAGATTAAAGACATGATTAGTTACTGTTGCTGTTAACGACACTTCACTCACCGGAGCTAACGTCAACCGACAAGTTCAATAACTAAAGCAGTTAACAACATCACTTCACTGTGCATGTTCACAGCACAACACAAAAACCTTGTGTATTATAAAGCTGTTTAATACAAAATTAAATGTAACCGTATCCCGAATTAAAGGTTTGTACCTGTTTAATGTCCCGCTGCACCAAAATATAACCGCTGTTTTCAGTTTCAAAAAATGGCGCCCGAAGTGACGCGTACTCCGGAAGTTACGTTGAAAATACGTCAACAAATGTTTTTGTTCACTGAAAATAGAAAAAAAATCTATAAAGTATTTATACAATACTGTAAACAGAGTGTTTACTCTGAAAAAAGTATTATAAATCATTATTGTTATAATTTAAAAAAATTATAATAATTATAATTTTTAATTTTTAAAAATAACTAGATTGAAATGGTGTCTCCTGATGCCGTCATTTTGGGCTTTGTTACTAGTCCTGTAATATTTTTGTTGTCAGTTGCTGAAGAATATTATAATTACAAGCAATTTTCACCAGATTTCATGTTAAAAGTCGTGACTCGCCGTTTTGTGGGCTTGTTTTAAACGTGCGGTCGCTAAGAGGACGCAAACTAGGACAATTCATAAAATATATCTTACAACCTCGATTTTAGGAATATCCATCAATGTGCCAATTTTCTTAGTTTGATTTATTACCCTGGCGGTTATACAAATGACAATAATGTACTTTAGATTGAAATAATTTGTCAAATCTGCTGTCATTATTGCTTATAGCACAATGGGTATTTAAATTAATTATATATGTCTCCGTTAACATAAAATTAATTTCTATGCACTTACACCCTAAAATTTACATTTTATGTTGCGAACAGAAAAAGCTACACTAGTCGCCTCTGACCAAGATACCACCGTCTTTCCAGCTTTTTCCTGCGGAACGGCCTGAGCGCCTACACGCCTCCGCCATCTAGTGGATTTCATCGGTATTGCGCTGTTCAGAATATTCATATGAAAAGGACGTCAAAGACGTGTTTGTGCTGTTTGACTACAGTGTAATGTATTTAGTTCTGATTAAATAGGCATATCCAGTACACAGTCATATGTAAAATTTACGACTGGTCAAATTACTCTGTTGTTGATTTTGTAAATGAAAATAATTTAACACATCCTCTACAGAGAACATGCTTCTGCACATTTTAATGCACAACTACCATCTATTTACTCCTTCTACAGAGAGCACAATTAAATATGGCATATGGCAACATATTGAATGAAAATAACACATGAAATATAAAATGTACCCATTTTGCACAGGCCAAGTTTTATGCCCCTACCAATATGTTAAAATCAGTGTTTTAACTTATTTTTACATAGAAAATCAACAAAACATAGAATTTGACTACAAGTGTGGGAGTGTTCAAACCCATTGCAGACAACTGGAAAGATTACTTTTAAAAAACCTAAAAAAAAATAATGCTGTGTTACTGCAAGATGTTCCACTGTCCAGTCTGTGTGATACACAGCTGAACAAATGCGTTGTTCTAGTATCTTCTACTCCTCTGGAAAAGCTTTACACTAGACGCTGGAACATTACTGTGAGGATTTTATCGCATTCAGCCACAAGAGCATTAGCGAAGTCAGGTAGTGATGTTGGATGTTGAGTTCTGGATCACAAGCTCCACTCTGACTCTGTACTGGATAGTTTTTCATCACTTCAGAAATGCATTCTCAACATCTCATTCTATTGGCAATCCTTTTCTAAAAAGATTATACAATATTGAAAAGTTTAGTTGACATTCAGCCCAGAACTGATGTCTGCTGAGACTGACAGCAATTATACATAAAGGGTAACATTGAAATGAAAATGAAATGGCATCTGGTTTCACAACTTGGGCATTTTATTTGTGCACTTACTGATATGGCAGCCCATTAAAGGGAACTTCTGAATGTTTGCAATTTTTAATAGAGAAAATAATTACATCAATCAATGTCTACACATCATAGTTGACCAATCCATTTCAGTCTGAATGTTAATGCTGCAGTTATAATAGACGTGTGCCAGACGTTCCACAACCCGGAAATTAACATTACATCAAAACAGTGTCTTCTTAGATCAACCTGTGTGCACAAGTAAAAAAAAAAAAGTGCAAAATGTCAGTGATTAAACTATGCTTAACGGAAATTCACTCACATAACTAATCATTCTCAGTCACCAGCTGTAGACCAGCACAGCACACTGTGGGCCGGATATAATAACCATATTCAAGACAAACAACAGAGATGGCCACAACACCTGCCACAGTGTTTCTTTGCAGCTGGTAACTTAACAGGTGTGTGTAAGTGTGTGTTTGTAGGCACTGAGGCCCTGTAATTAATCACACCATGGGATTACCACACCAACATTTACCACTTTGCAGTAATTCTTTAACAAGGAGACTTGGACAACTTCCTTTTGTTTATGAGTGTGTCGTGTCACTGGGGTCTTTCGCTGTATTGCTGCTGATGTTTGTAATATTGAGTCTGCCTATCAAACACAGCAACAAGCCTGCTGCCCATAAACCACTAAATAGACCGGAATTTCATATTGAAAAATTCTTGAAAGGTAAATATCCAAGAAAGAGATATTTACACTGTAAAGGCTACTTTTAAGTAATTGTAACATGTGGATTAGTGAAAAATATTGCTTTGTTCATCTGAGCTACTATTTTACTTTGCTTTTCTCTAAACATAGTACTTATTTGACTTGAATAAAACTGGTTGTTACCATGGGTTGAATGCACTAAACATTTTTAATAGTGTAGGTTAAGACATATATATTTAAATATGCCTGTGAGTTATGCATTCCAATAGAAAAGAGCATCCACACTACATTACAGTTTGTCCCCCTTTTACTGCAGTAACACCTCTACTATTCTGAGAAGGCTTTACACTAGATGTTGGAACATTGCTGTGAGGATTTGAATAGCATTCAGCCATAAGAGCATTAGTGAGGTCAGGTACTGATGTTGGATGATTAGTTCTGGATCACACACACCACTCCAACTCATCCCAAAAGTGGGGAGTTTTACCCTCAAGCAGATGCTTGACATTGGGCATGGTGACTTTAGGCTCATGTGCAGCTGCTCCAGAGCACCCCATTCTATCAGCAGTGCTTTTCTTTGGAGAAATAAGCTGTGTTTGTGTGCAATTGTGTCAGCAATTGATGCACTTTAAAGCAGCATAATTCACCAACTAGAAAGAGTGTCAGGGTACTTTTGGACATTTTATGCATGTTTCATGGGCCATTTAATGAAAAACTAAATACATGTATACATGTAATGAGCCTTTTCATCCATTCGGTGTCACTATTGACATTACTCTGTGAAAGCATTCTTCCTTCTCCTCTCTCTCTCTAACTCTCTCTCCCTCAGACACACCATTAAAGCACGTTAGGTTCACTTTGATTTGTAATTACTACATCTACTTATTGCGGACATGTGCAGGACATCTGCTGTTAGGCTCTGGTTCTATGTTAAAGTCTGTCATTAAACTACCACATGAGACACTCCCTGCAGGAGCACAGCACAGTGCACTGAGCTGACTCTATAACTGCAAAGGTCAAACTACATTAAAGGCTCCATGCAATAAATACGTTCAGTCATAACGTCACTTACAAGTGTGCAGAGCCACGTACAAGAGTCTTCCCCTTAGGTGCATCTAGCATGTGCACAAATAACTAATATATAGTGCATAAATAACTACATATATGCTCTAACAGTGTTGGAAGAGGTTTTAAATTTTAATGAAAGACAGACCATAGCATCTAGAAAGTATTTGCAGTGAGACTGGTAATTTATAGGGACACATCTTTGAAATCCAGTGTTATGAGTCAATCATGAAAAGTGTGTGCACTGATATTGTTTTGGTTTATTTAGGTAGTGATGATCTGTTATGGTTGATTATATTGTACATCCATATTTTAAACTAGAATTAAGGGTAATTATTTTTCTCCTTGTGCTTTTTGGGAAACTTTCAAATCAGTTCATTGTATTTACATTCCATTTGAATGTAAAAATTAAATAATTTGAATTTCATTCATTTTTGAGTCTCACACAAAAGGCATAGGATATGCACCCGGACACCCTTTATAAGCTAATTTAGCTGAAACAGCTTGCATAATATCTTTAAAAAGCATTGCAAAAAGTAAAATAGGACTCTCTGGAGTAGCTATACATTAGCCCAAACCTTGGGGGCTGGAGCATAGTTTGTGATCTAGAATATCATCCAACGTATCTGGCCTCATTAATGCTCGTGTCTGAATGTAGTCAAATCCTCACAGCAATGTTCCACCATCCTTCCTAAAAGAGGAGTAGAGGCAGCAAAGGGTATTAATCTCTACTAATACCCTTAATTTCAGAAGAAACGTTGAATAAATGAGGAGGTGTCTACAAACTTTTGGACATATAGTGTAATTCATATAGCTGCAAAAGCCCTTTGAAATGGGACGTTAAGCCCTATTCTATTCTATTCTATTCTATTCTATTCTATTCAGTATATTTCGACCTAGTGGGTGTACAGTAACTCAGGGTCCAGCCTCAGGGTCAGTGTGTTTGGGTTTGACTGCTCCCATCGCGCTCTTCCCGATGACCTCATGGAGCTCGCGCGGAGAGGGAGGAGCCCCGCGCGTTCCTCTAGAGGATTCATGTGGAGAGAGATAAGCGCTGGAAAACTTTTCTGCTGGAGAATTCATGAAAAAAACAGGTATTTCTTCAACATTTTCAGCTGAGTTAACACGTGTTTAATGCGAGTTTTCCACGTAGTTCCTATTCGTTTATTAGGCTTCTTGAATAACGAAGGCAGTGTTGGATAAAACGGATAAAACGTGCTGCTAATGAAGTTTGTGTCGTTCATTTTATGATGTGAAAAGGTACCTAACCGTCGGTAGCGTTAGCTAGTTAGAGCAACGGGAATGCGTCGGGACATGTCCATAACAGAAACGTGCTACTCTCGGTCTAGTAACGCTGTTATTTATATTAGAGTTAATGCTTGGTTTATAAACGTTTGCTATGTATCTAAACTTTGGTATGTTAGTTAGCAAACTTTCTCGCTGACAGTTGGAGTTGAGGAGGGGGTCATTGTTTGTTATCAGGCTTGCTCTGTCTTTCTTCCCCAGTGAGAAGACTTCACATATTACAAGTAGTAGGCTAGGGTTAGCTAACCTAGCTTCATAGTTCTCATGAATGTGTAATACTTCGCTATTAGTGATCTGGAGTTCAGTTATTTTAAGGGCGGTCATTGCTGCCTGCTTTAGACCTCACTGAAATCTGCACTCATTGATTTCTTCGGGTGTTTTCTTACGGGGCTTAATGTAAATATGACAGAATTATATTGTTTCTGAGCCTTTTACCCAACACGCAACTGCAAATTCTGAAGTATTAACTGGTCTGTGGTCGCCCTCGAGTTCGCAGAGCGTCTGAGTGTTTCAAATGTGAGCGGGATTCGTTGGAGAGGTTGGAGAGGTCACGCTCCAAATGTGCCGAGCAGAGTTCAGAGTTCGAGGACTTTTACAGTAGCTGTGGTGGTTTGGAGGACTGACCCAGCCCAGTCATTAGGCTTGGTTATGCGTGTTGTATTGACACAAGGCACTCCTCTTCACAAAGAAATGTCCATTACTAAAGGTGTGATAAGTACAATATCGAAAAATCAAAACAGAGAAATATATCGAAATATAAATATCGATACACTCTCCTTGGTTTCTTTAAAAGGTCCATCCTGAAAACCAGGAAACGTGAGAAAAGAAATGAAACATTAAGCAACTGCCTAATGTCGGGCTCAGTTTTGATTTTGCACATAATTAGCCTAAATGTGTTGTTTTGTGTTACATTAATTTGATATTCCACTTTTTGGTGGCTGAAAATGGAGGCACGTGATGTATGGTTTTATATAAGCAATTCAGATTTTGCATTTAGGTGCTTCTATTTTTGTGTTATTTATAGCTCAGTTGCACTGTTTTTGTATGATCTGCAGACTCAAGACTTGACCTTAGAATCGAAAATAGTATTGAACCTCCAGATATGCGTATCACTACACCTCTCTTTCTTACTAAAAGGAAATTAGTAATTTAGACTTTATTTTCGTTTAGAATTTCTAGGGATGGGGTTAAGCACGTTTCTCGATTCGATCTTATAAATTTCTCAGATAAACAGTAAAACACTGCTTTGATTCAAATGCCGTTTGTGGTGTCTTTATATGTAGAGACATGTGGTGGTGGTTAAGTTAGTGTTTGTTCTAGTTATACTGATACTATTGTTTTGAAAATCATATGTAGTGTTTCTTTGTCAAGGGGCAGACATGGGAAATTTCACAATGGAGACACTACATGATGATTCAGTCTTGTCTCATGAGAGTGGGTAATCATCTGAGTTGGACTTTTTTTGTGTGTATATAGGCAACAGAGTCTGCCGTCATAGCAAGAAACACTGATTCCCATGGCCAGCTGGCAAATAACAGGTGGTGGCACTGAGCATACACTGTTGATTTTTGAAGGAGCGCAACAGGGGCATTGACCCAACGGCTATGGGCAGCTTCAGCTCGTGTCTCCACAATATGGCCATTGTGTGGCTTATTGGTCTTGTTTTAAATCCTTACTTGCTGTTTTATGAGGACTTTATCAAGATTTGCTGATCAGTTGAGTGATAAATCTTCTATTTTCATTGAACTGTCATTTACAATCTGCTTTAACGTCTATGTGATGTACGTTACTGTGCTTATGTTTTTCAGATTTTTTAAAAAAATATGCTTTACGGATAAGAGGTTATGATTTTCAGCCATTCATGACTGAGAGGCTTAAAATTGGCACTAAAACAAATACTGCATCTTTACTGTTCCACAGTAGCAGTATGTTGACTAAAGCGGTCCAGAATAGTTATATAAATGAAACAAAGCCTTAATGTTTACACTTTTTAGCTCATTCAGCAGTAATAATAAATGGGGTTTATATTTGTCAATGGGCTCATAGATCATGGTGGGGACGGTTTTACGATGACTCGGTTGTCTCAGTAACTCTGGTGGCCTGTTGAGAACAGCATGTTTAATAACACAGCCTGTGGTTGTGGCTAGAGAGTGTGCTGTGTTCAAAACAAAAGCCACGCTGTATGTCGTGCCAGCTGAGCCCCTTCAAATGAGTGGCTGGCGATGCTCACTAATGCTGTCACAGCACATCAAACTAATCTTCAGATCACTTGCAGTAGTGCTGAATCTTGCAGTTAAGCATGGCTGTGTGAATCCAATTGACATGACCTATTATTCTCCTGTTAAATGCTTTGTAGATTACGTATGGCCTAAACATTGCTCAGTCATTAAAGAATTGCAGTTAGTGAACTTGCTGTGGGAACTTGACCAGCAAATGTTTTGAAAGCTGACAGAAGCTGCGTTGTCTAAATGTAGACTAATTTGCAGTTTATTATAACTGAAACGAAATGTAACTAATTACTACCACCTTATTACTAATATCCCCTAATAACATTATGCTCCAAATGCTATTCATCTATTTTTCTTTTCTTGAAGCTCACAGTAGTATCTCTGCACAGTAGTGATTATCACCCCTATTTAATTTGTTTCCTGTGTGCTTTGGTTAGATGTTTGCTTTTGGATGTCAGGCCAGCTGTCTGCAGGGTAGTGTGTTGAGTGCACCATCGTAGTCTGTGAAATGCAGTGGAATGTCATTATGTCTTATAGAAAGCACATACATTGATGGTATCATTGATGGAATGTGTTGACTAGGGATGCACTGATATAGAAATTGTGGGCAGATACTGATATCCATGATTTTTCATGTATATATCATCTGATGCAGATAAGAGGGGGAGACAGTATTCACTGGTGAGAGACTAGAGGCTAAAACGAGTGAATAGAAGTAAATAGAAGAATAGAAGACGTCTGAGTAACCTTCACATACTGCTGTATGTTATTAAGCTATAGCAGCAGAACAAATGTGTCTTTGTATTGGAACTTTTTATAGAACTTAATGACTGTAGTTTTTAAATTGGTAATAAGTAACAATTTCTTTAAACAAAATGTTTTGTAAAACTACTAATAAGCTGTGGACTGCCAGAAGCCAAAGTTTGTTTGTTGGGGTTAGAGAAAGCATTTTGGTATAGAATTATAGCATAAATAATCATGAACAAAGTTACTAAAGAGTCAAGACTCAGACAGCTGAAAGTAGGCCAGTAGACTATCTAATCTATGAAAGAATGCAAGTTTTATTAGATTGTGTTTTCTTGCATATCTCTCTATTTTTGTTTTATTTAGTTTACTGTGTGTGTGTGTGTGTGTGTGTGTGTGTATGTGTGTGTGTGGTGTTGTGTGTCAGTGAAGCCTAGCAGTTGTGTATAAATTTAAAGCTCCAGTTAACCAGGACGTACCTCCAGTGTGTTAGAGGGCTTTACAATCAAGACCTTTAGGAAATTTTAGGTCATGTTTGAAAGGAATCCAAGTGGATGACGTTAGATGGGCTAGTCACCAGTCATGCTCCACATCTGAAGTCTTATGTTTCTTTTAGAAAGTTGATCATTGAAGCTGACATTCTATTAGTCACAGCTCTTGACCTGTGAGGCTGTTCCCATGCAGTGTTATCTATTAGCTGTCCATGATGTGGTTTGTTTATCAGTTCAGATCGGTGCTGTGGGTTCATTTATCAACACTTCAGCCTTGTGGATCAAGCTATAGAGTCCCATCACTCATTAAAGAATTTAGGACATTTTCTCTTAACAGTCTGCTCTACTGAAGGTAACATGGTTAGATGATTTAATCAGAAGTGTGCCTGAAGGCCGTCCAAAAGGTTAAAGGAAAGTGTTGGGAGTGGATAATGAAGTGTACTCTATAGTGAGAGAAAGCTAACAGGATTTCTGCTAGACCTGTTAATGTTTGACACTAATCAAATATCAGGAATCCCCTGTTAACCCGCACTTGTAGGCTTACTGCGTTTGATTTTAGTGTTTAAAGGAGTCAGGTCATGACCATGTTTACAAATTTTCTAATTTATTAGAAGGAAGAACCAAATTAAAGTCTTCTTTTTTATTTTGTTCTGCTTTTTAGATCACTAACTTTTCTTGCTGTGGAGAGGTTGACTTCAGTATTGTCTGCCAGTGTCTCTGTGTTAGAGTAAGACTGTGCTGTCATGTCAAGTTGAGTCTGTTTCCACTGCCTTAGGTGCAACAATAAATTCAGAGAAAAGGTTGGCTAGGGAAACATGTCTGAACTCAGATCCATCTGACTCACTGGTACAGGGAAAACTACACTCCTTTCAACAGAACTGTTGTTTTAGCTCCTTTCTTATACTCTTGTTTGCTGTATATGGTTGACAGATGTTGCAATTACACTTTTTCAAGTAACCATTTATTTTTACAAATGATTTGTTTAATAGGCACTGGCTACAGTGGTACAGCAGAGTGTAGTTTAGAGTCAGTAGGCTACGTGCCAGTTTATGTGACCCAAATGTCCCTGTTTGGTAACTGAGTGATTCTGTATGATTCACTCAGTTACCAAATATAGCCATAGGCCTTTTGAACAACAATTAGGAGCTTGTTGATAAATATGTCCTTCAAAAACCATTACCCTCAATTCTGTTTACTGTCTCCCAAAGACACCGGAGTGGGATTGGGTATGCCTAAAACTTAAAGTGCTTTGTTTTCATCTGCATTTGTTTCAGTAGGCTAATTGTTTTAGCTGACTAGTGCGAAGATTAAAAGTGTCATTCTCTT